TTNTATATATATATATATATATATATATATATATATATATATATTTTCAATCTGTATGCTATTCTTCCCATTCTTTATGATTCTTGATGATCTTTGTTACGAGAATTGTGGCATATGAATAGAGCCTGTTGCCTTTCATCTTATTCGTTTGTGTCCGCGGTTTTCAATTTCCCTTGAAAGATAAAAACTTCTGGATCATGAAGCGCCAACACTTAATAACTAATAACTGATAGTGGTATGTAATTTTGTGAAAATTTAGGATAGAAGCACTGAGTATGTATCCCCGAAATTCAGCGCAACTCTGTGTAACTTCTCTTCACAAGTGTCATAATGCTGCAAAGTTCAGGAATTTAATTCACATCGGCGGTTTAATCCAAAGCGAAGAATTTTGTACTGTCTCTGTTTGTACTATTGATTACGAAGGGTGTTAGAGGAAGAACATCTTCCTTCCATCTAGATTTATATCTGATATTACTGATGTTAAGATGTTTATATCACATCGAAAAGATTATTTAGATTATTCATTAGTCTTAAACCTTATCTTTCTGTTTGGACGAAATTTTCGAAAGTTTGTGTAGTACGTTCGAAATTATAACCTTTTTATTAATGAAGTGTTTGCGTCAGTTACCCTAAGGAGAATGATTTTTCTTTACAAACTGAAAAAAAAAAATTGTTTCCAAGTTGTTCGAAATTGTTTTGTTTCTGTCGTGGAAATTTTTTGACGACTGACACAGGCAACTCGTTGTGACAAAGGTTTTATTGATTGACGGAGGGTTTATTCTTCGTATACGTTATAAGACAATTACCGCAGAATATCATGGGTTGAGTATCACGATTAGCAGTGCGCTTCGATTCGGTTCAACTCAGTGCTACCACTTATACGGAGTTGAACAGAATCGAAACGCACCGTTGACCACTGCTGACTGCTGACAACGCACTGTTGACCTTGTGGATGATCCTGTCTATATAGTAGGAGTTTGTTTACAACATTCTGACGCAACACGAGTCGATTTCCAACATCCTTAAAACATTGATGTGTTATAAAAATATTTCAGTTATTCCGACAATTCTCTAAGTTATGGGAAATCCTTGTAACTGGGAAATGAATTCGCACGATCAGAATTTGCTTTTGAATCTTCAAATTTGGGATTATTTCTTCTTTTTTTAGAAGTTACTTAGGATACTTAGAATGTGGGATAGGATTATCTCATTTCCCTGATGTTCTTTTGTGGAAGAGGAGTTTCAAAAATTGCGAAAACCAGTATCACGTTGCAAATTGCTGATACTTGGCTCCTCTGTTCTTGATTTTGATCCATGGTTCAAAGCACTTCAAAGACAGAAGAGCTACGTATATGATGATCAGCAGTAGTTAATGATTGTGCTGCTACCATTTTGTGGAACAACAGCTGCTGCTAAGGGCTTAAATCGTTGTCACCGATAAATGTTTCAGTTCAGTCTATTCCTTCCCTCACTACCTCGCGCAGCGATCCTCCTTCAGATCTGACAGCTCTTCACCTTCCCCACTTCATCTCTTTCCTCCTCTACTGCTTTCAGTTTAAACCTCTTATTTCTGCTAACGACATGACTAATCTAGCAGATTTTTTGTATAGAAACTGTATTATTTTGTTGTGTCATTTTTCACTTCAACCTTCATCAGTAACTAGGAAGAAGGCAAGAACGCGACTGCATGCTTCTCTTTCCTCAGTTACTCGTTTTGTAGGATATAAATTTCGTTTTCGAAACTTTCTGCAATTTGTCAGAAAATTAAAAAACAAAAGATAAAAAAGACATTTCTGTCAATGTTCCTTGTCTCAGTGCTATACCATCTGCTTCCTAATCCTTCTCCCAAATATACCCAAATATATATCTTCTCCCAAAAAAATACCATCTGCTTCTTCCAAATATTATCAGGTTTATAAGTCATTCAAGGCTGGTGTTCATTGAAAGGGGAGACTCGAGTTTGGGATATTTGCATAAAACTGTTGAATAAGTAAAAATGATGAAACATGTATAAAGTTCTTAAATAGTTGTCAACTTAAGTCAGTTTTTTAGAACTAGCTTTTTTTGTAACAGTTCTGTCTCCAAAGTTCTAAAGTCTTAAATTGAGACAGAATATGATATGTTTACTGAGCTTTAATGGAAAATTGTTTTGAGCAACTTTTCTTACTGTAGTGATATAACTCACATGTAGAACAGATCGTATGCGAACCTTACGATGATAGGTGTTAAATCGTTTTTAATCATCCTGTCAATTGAGCTTATCTCATTCAAGAGAGAAATATTTTGTCAACAGATAGACTGCAGCGAATAATCCCTACAAATTTTTGAGAAAGTAGTCTACCGATAATTCAGGTAATTGCAGATGTTTTTCATTGTTCATTTTCGAATCATGCTTATATTGGAGTCGGAAGCTAAGTACCGGAAAGAGACTGAGTAAATCTCCACATACTGGACATATCTTGTCCTCTCGTTGTCAACTCGTCGCCCCCCCCCCCCCCCTACCTATCTTTCTATCAGGAAAAGAACTGACGACTGTGTTTTTATTCTGTTAATTTTGTTGCTATGTTGCAACTATAACTTTTGTTTTCCTGCACTATCCTTTAGTGATTCTCTTTAAAATTGCAAATGTTTTGTTTTTTGAATCTACTATCCAATTAATTAAGTACATTTTTGGTGGTATCATACGTTGACTATGAAGAGGAAATAGAGGAAACCACAGATGAAGATGGCCTTTTTATATTCGTTGTTTTCGTTTATAATGCATAGTGACGAAAATTGGCTTATCTTGTTTTTTAATCTCGTATTTTAATGCTTTCAGAATTTGGGATTAACCTGGTGGCAAGCTTATTTGATGGAATTGAACGAACTTAAGGCGGAAGTATCGCGACTAGCGAATGCTCTTGAGGAAGCTTCTTCTGATAAAATCAAAGTTCGTTTTTTATATCTTTCGCGGAAAAGTTGAACTTATAATTATTGAGTTCTGAGCTTTGACTTTTTGTTGCATTAAAATTTGAATTCTTTTGTTTCAGGCAGCCCAGTACGGGTTGCAAGTTTTAGATGAAAAGCAACAGCTTGAAGTCAAACTTACTCAGTTGCAAACACAGTTTGATACCGCAAAAGCAGAAGCCGAAGCTACGAAAAAGGTAACTCTTGGAAACGTTTTTTTTTTTTTTTATTCTTCCATATGCGTGATCCATTTTAGCATGATGCACTGATCACTTCTTTTAGTGCCCGATTCCAATTCTAAGCAACCTTTTGCGAAGAGCGTTCTTGTTCCATACTGGAAAGCAGATCCATCCATAGTTAAGTATTTTTTTCACAAGAAAATATTTAGGCGTTGGCACAATTTCATTCACAACAAAAATCAGTTGCAAAGTCCGACATCGACCATGAAGAAAGTTTATTGGAAGAAACGATGAATCGAGAGCAGGAGTATTTGGCAAAAATTGCAGCCTTAGAATCAGATTTGAAAAATTATCAACATGTGAAGTTTTTTTAAATTTTTGGAATTTGTTATTTGTGAGGTCCTATATTTTATGACTAAGCGTATCAATGAGATTAAGTGTATCAATGAAAGTACACTGAGATTTTATTGGTTTTATTACGTGATTGCAGGGATTTGCGGATTGTAGAAATCCATAAGGTACACCAGATAGCATATTTTCAGGAAGTGGACAGGTATCGTACTGACCTAGATAGGTTGCAAACCTTACATACAAGTGCTTCGGAAGCAGCTTCTGATCTTGATACACAAAAGCGACAGCTCAGGGAAGATTTAAGGGAGTTAAAAAATCGTGAACAAAGATTACTAAATGATTATTCTGAACTGGAAGAGGAAAATATCAATCTCCAGAAACAGGTTTCTCTATTATTCGTGTCATCATTGTGTTTGTGATGTTCACTAGTGCTCTATCACAATTCTGTTTTGCTGAGATTTTTTAGTTATCAAATCTGCGCAGTGCACAAATAGAATTTGAATCCGTAAAAATGGAAGTGAAACGTTTAATGGATGAAAACGATCAACTGCAGGCAGATAAAGAAGAAGCCAACAAGTTAACTATTGTGGCCCAAAAACATGTACGATTGATTTAATATCTTTCATCACCTGAATCATCAGATAATCCAGGCCACTTTTAATGCACTACGTTTTCTCGGCTATAACATTACTATAACCAGATATGTTTTCGAAGGAAAATAACAATAGTAAGCCTCAGATTTTTTTGAATGACCCAGATTTTCTTTGAATGACTCAGATTTTTCTGATTCATTCATTCGGTGCAGTATTAATATTTGTGTTCAGCTAGTCTCATTTGCCAACTTGTGGTATTTCTTTGCTGAAAGCGTCTGAAAAAAATTTTTGTAATTATTTCTAGTAATTTATGAGTCTTTAAGTCTAAATTTGCTTAATACAGTTAAATTAAATTTATCAAATTTTGTGTTGTTACTTTCATAATGTGTTATAAAAATTGAATTTGGATTGAAATTTCCCCTCGGAACAAATTTGAATTTTCCCTCGAATACAAAGTGGTTGTGCATACAAAGTAACTCATTTATAAACAGTGTTTTAATTAAGGAGAGTTATAATTTCACTTATTTCAGCTTGAAGATGCTTTATTGAACGTGCAGCAAGAACGTGATCAAAAATTAGCTTATAAAAAGGAACTGGAGTTAATGCGAAATGCAGAACATTTACAACAGCTGAATACAATGCTCTTTGGGTTGCAGAGCAATAATGATGATGACTCACAAGCACTTAAAGAGGTGTCTTGTCCTTTTCGAATTCTTTTGATTGAAATTTATTATGGTTTGTCGTTATGCAATAGTTAAGATGCAGAAAAAGTCTTTGGTACCTGGGATTTGGTTTGAGAATCATTTATGTTTTTTGCAGTTGGAGTCCTCTTTTATTACGGATTCTAATGAATTCGGTAAAAACAGGCCACCAAAAGGTGTTGATCTGTTCTCGGAAATACATGGTGACATGCCGGAACGGTTGGCTGAGTTAGAAATGAAGAATGATCAGCTTACGTTGAAGATAAAGGAAACGGAGAAAGATGTCAGTTACGTTATCCCTGTTTTAAAGAAACTTGAAGTAATGAGTACAGCGGGTCAGTTGCAACATTCAGCATTTTTCGTTTGTTTTTGAGAACATTCAAAACGTACGAGAGTTTTTTCTATAAAAATGTTGATGGATCTGTTTTGATTACAAGTAAACAACTACATATAAAACAACTACTATATATATCGAAATCTTCTATTCCAGACTTAGATCATGCTCAATTGAAGCAGTTATGTGATGATGCTTTGAAGAAGATTGAACAACTCATTGAAAGTGCATCCAAGGCAGGTATTGGAAGTAAACAGTATGACCTCATCAAAGCAGATTTACATACTGCAATTATGGTTGCAGGTGAAAATCAAGCAAAACTCGCTTCCGCTCAGGTATGTCTCTTTTTTATCCTTATCATTTGTCATGGAAGAGGCAGTGTCGACTTCTTAGAATTTTTTAATAATTTCAGGACTTAATGATTGCTGTTGCTGATTTTCTGTATCGTTTGTACCATCAATTGGTTTCCACACATGGACTCGAAGCCGACAAGAATGCGGCTGAAATAATGAAAAAACTTAGGCAGTATGCAAATGAAAATGCAGAAAGTGAAGAATACATACAAGATCAGTTGGAATTTCGTCTTTTTTCCTAAAAACTTTTCAGATAAAAAATTCAAGCTGGTGTGATACTGAGTGGTTAGGAGGATAAGTAGTCAGCTTCAACTGCAAACAAATTTAAGCTTCGGTTTTTTTTCTACTTTCTATTTTTGCATTTTAGACGAAGGTGTTGAAAGTGGAACAGAAACGGAAGGTGGTCGCTCGCCGCGTCTGATGTTAAATTTGCAGCGACAATTCATATCGCCGTCTTTTGCGAAATTTCTAAATGAAGAGCTGGTTTGTGACCGATTGGATGACATATTAACAGAAAGCGATTTCAGAGAACGAATTGTTCCCGGTGAGGATTTTCTAGGTCATTTCAACAGCTTCCATGGAGATTACCGATTTTTTGTCAGTAGGATTTTTGTGTATTGAATAAAAACAATGTCGAGAACTCAATATTTCAGGTGAAAGTAATGTATTTCGAGTGTCAGACTGTCTTACGGAACTTTCAAAAATTGTTCGGCGCACAGTGGAGAATGCTCTTAACACTCAAGTGGAAAATGAGGATCATCAGGAACTGACTTTACAAAACATGAAGCTTCGTTCTCTGTTAGCCACCAAAAGGTTATTTTGAAATTGTCAGCGTTACGAAAATAAGAGCAGATGAAATAAAAAAGTATGTTGTTACAGAGACCAAATCGCCACGTTACGTACGGTGCTGAAATCGAACAAGCTTACTGCTGAATCAGCTCTAGCTTCACTGAAAGAAAAGTATGAAAGTGAAAAGACAATGACACATGAGCTTTTGGATAGGTTGAGACGCGAATTAAAAGCATTCAAAGAAGATGCAGCAACATTTGCGTCTCATCGAGCAATGTTTACAGCACGTTGTGAAGAGCTTCAAGCACAGGTGTCTCATTCTTTCTTTAACGTTTAATTCCAGTTTACCGTGGAATTTTTTTCGACATTATAGTTTTGTACACTTGCTTTTGAATTTAAAACTCTGCTAAACCTTTTCTATAGGTTGATGAAATGGCCGCTAATCAGAGAGCAGCGGAGGATGAAAAGCGCACACTGAATTCCCTGCTGCGTATGGCCATTCAACAAAAATTAGCCCTAACACAAAGGTGATCTTTTATTTTCCTTTACTTGAAACAAACTGTGCACCAAGTTTAAAAAGTCTGAAATTTCACAGGTTAGAAGACTTGGAAGTTGACCGTGAAAGGCAGGCATTTAAACGTGGCAACAAAGCATCAAGCCGTGTTGTGAATTCGGATGGTTCCGGACAGTTGCACCGAGTTCGTTATCCGGGACAGAATGTTCAACAACAACAGAGGAATCTAAAGAGGGATTACTAAAAGGGAAAGCATTTTCATCCAACACCTTCACCGCAGAAATTTCGCTATAGTCTTTCCGACTGGATGCTAATGCATGGATATTTTCGCAGCGAAGAGTACTTTTTTTGGTATGTTTTTGTTTAATCATATACTGCGACCATGAGCACGGTAGTAATGAGACAACATCTACCATTCATTGATTCGTTTTCTATTGCGGCAAGTCGCGCATGTATTATTTATCAGCAAGCATATTTTTCCATATGAGTTTTGTTATTTACTGAATAATTTATGGAAATTATTGAAATGATGCTTTCTGTTCTTCTGTACATCTTCATTCTTCAAGTCTATTAAAACAATCGATTAACGCTAACTGACTAGGTCCACAAAAACTGTTTATGCGGTGTAGCACATTCCTTAGCTTAACGTGATGTGTACTAGTTTCTGGAAAAATTCCCATTCAGCCCCTCCGTGTAGCGCACGCTTAAGTTAGATCATTTACTTTCGAACCTGCTGATCTTTGCTAACCACTCATCCCGATATGCTTGAGACGTCTGGAACTCGTGTCCAACTTTATCTGACACTGCACACTTTTATACTTTTAGGGAGCATAAAAACTGGCTATTTTTTGGTAGGAATTTTTTTTTCGTTTTGAGAACCTGAAAATTAGAAAATTTAGGACGTCTCGGCTGAAATATGTCTGGAATTTGTATTACCGGCTACTATCTTTTCGCACCCTAAATTTTGCTCTTGTGGAAGCTCAGCCATCAGTTGTGTTTAGCATTTAGCTTTCCCTACTTATTTAATGCATGGAGAGATTTTTCTCTTTTTTTTGTTTATCATTTAATTTGTTGATGTCCAGTTTGCTCCTATTCCTTATAGTACTTCAAATTCTGTTTTATATTGCAGTTACAATTTTTTTCAGTGTGCCTTTTTTCCAGTTCACTCTTGTAACTGTCGTTAATAACTTATTGGGGCGCTTCACTGGTATTTGTACGATGAATTCAAGTCTGTACTTCATTTTCTAATTTAATTAGACTTTTACAGAATTCCATTCCAGTGGAGTTCATTACTCTGAGCTTGTGGACACTAATGTATGTATAATTTTTTGTGATTAAGTTGAGACTAGAAAATTCTGTTAGATCTCTATTTGTCGAAGAGGTTATTCTTACAGCTCCTTGATAGTCTTCCAGATTTGTAATAAAGATGTGCTAAAGTTTTGTAAACCTGAAAAATTCAGCAGTTTAGCAGACTGTATGGACGTCTTTTTTACCGCTCCTGTTTCTCAATGAGCATACATTAACTACCCTTCTGATGTTCTGGGTGGTGTAATGCAGTTTAGCTGTTGGCGTAATCGATATATATATATATATATATATATATATATATATATATATATATATATATATATATACTACT